CCTACAAACTAACACTGTTCTCTTAATCAATTTTTCTCTTTCCTGTCTTACCCCTCCCCCTCTTTTCAACTTTGAAAGCGTATAAATTGATGATGAAAACTAAAACTAAAAAAATTGTAATGCTTTTATTTTGGATGAGTCAATTTTATAGTATCTCTTCTCTACCACCAGTCAAACATTAAAGTATGTTATTATCATCTATAGAACCATTGTTATTTCAGGTAGTCTGCAGTTGATGAGAACCTGTGAAATAGAATGACGATATCATTTTATACTGCAAATTTCGTCTTCCTTTCTTTATCGAAATTTATCAAGGGAACCAAATGTATGAATCTTCATTGTTATTTTGACTTTCAATATATCCCTATAACTTGATCTAAGTCTATTTTCTTACCCCTTAACTCTTTGTTATATATATGCTGAGTGGATTTTGTAAATTCCGGTTTAGTGATACTACTTTGATAAAGCTATTAACAGCAGCATTAAATAGCAAAACGTCAGTGAACAGAACAATATCGTTTTGTTTTTCATTCATTGGGAAATGCAGAAAACCTTTATTATAATCAACTAGCCTTTATTAGTTATTATTATTGCTCCCTTGGGTCCCTAGTGGAACATAGGGCTTCAACTGCACGTCTCCACTTGCTCCTGTCTTCTGCTGTACTTTTCACCTGCATCCATGTTAGTACATACTGTCTCAACTACTCTTCACATGATCTCCTCCATGTCACCCTTGCACTGACGTCCCACTCGCCGCTTCCCTTTCGGCTTCCACTTGAGCAATGGCCTGACGCGCGATGTCACCAACCGGCCTCCTCAGCGAGTGTCCAATCCATCTCCACTTTCTCCTACATATTTGTTGGTTGGCGATTGGTTCTTGTTTTGTTTAAGCCCGTAGTTCCGCATAGTTGGTGATTCTTTCCGGCCCGGCCATCTTATCTTCAGCATAGAGCGAAGACAGTTGTTAATAAAGGTCAGCAACAGGCTGTTGGAAATATTCTTTGTGACGCGGCCGCCAAGTTTCTGATCAGTCCGTATAGAAGAGCTGACTGACTTGACGTTTGTATTGGAAATCCTACAAAATTTCGTTGTTGATTGCGAGTGACGAAGATTTCCAGATTGGTTTCAGGTTGATGACTGAATGTGTTTCTCGCCTTCCCGATTCTCTATTTGACATCCTCGTCCGTTCCGACTTCCTGTAGTTGAGACAATGCTCCCTAGATCAGTGAGTGAATGAAGTAACCTCTTTCAAATCACTCCCTCCCATTGGTGGGGATTGACGCTGGATGTTGCTGCTGTTGTTGTAGGTTGGTTATTTTCATCACCTCCGTCTTGTCTATGTTCACATGGAGTCCTGTCTTCTCTGGCTGCTTCTTCGATCAGTTTGTCGACTTTCGCTTGTAAGTCTTCGATTCTGTGTGACATCAAACATAAATCATCCACGCGCGAAATCCAGGTCTTCTAGGTTCTTCACGTCGGTCCAGGATATTCCTGTCTTCTCGTTTCCCACTGTCTGACGCATAATCCAGTCCACCACAACAAGGAATATCATCGTTGGTGATAATAAGCACCCTTGTCTGACTGACTCCTGTGTTTACTCCAAATGCCTGGCTGAGTCTTCCGTTGTGGATGACTTGACATGTGTTGTTGTCATACAGCTGTTGAATAAGGTTGATCAATATTTGGGGCACGCCGTAGTACTCGAGTAGTTTCCAAATTACTTCGCGGTCAACGCTGCCTGTTGAAGGCCTTCTCAAAGTCTATAAAGTTGAGGTAGAGGTTTGATCACCATTCCATGCTTTGTTCTGTGATGATGATGCGTAGAGTTGCAATTTGGTCAGTACATGATTTGCCTTTCCTGAATCCAGCCAGCTTGTTCTGGTCGGAGTTCTGTCTTCAGTGCATCCTTCAATCTCTCCAGGATGATGCGACTCTGGATTTTACTTGGCGTGGACAGGGCATGATTCCTCGCCAGTTCTCGCAGAGTCCTAGGTCGCCCTTCTTTGGCAGTTTCACGAGGTAACCTTTCCTCCAGTCAGTAGGCACCTTATTAGTTATTACACAATAGCAATGACAAAAAGTAATACTATCTAGAGGCGGGGGGGTGGTCATTTTCGTTAACTATAGTGAAGTAAACATTTGAAAAGAATTAACGATCACACACACACACACACTCAGAGTGAGAAAGTGAGAAAACAAAATATTAAAGCTACACGTCCCAGTAATCCGATTATTATCATCATTATTTATAATAATACATCGGATAATTTATAGGTTCACACATTACGCGTCTATATTTATCTGTGACCATAGTGATAGTGCATGTCTCAATGACCAGCTATATTTGTCTCTATTCGTGATGATTACGGGGTCAGTAAAACAAATAGAAAAAATAATTAAATGTGTCTAATTACTACTGAGTAAGAGAGAGAGTTTTGTCATTCATAAGATGCACTGTCATCTCACACATAATACAGAAAGAAAGGTTAAATATCTCTGAACTTTGAAAAGCCTCTTGTCTCTACCACTGTCTCTCTTTATGTCTCTCGATAGTTTTACTCATTCAAGGCATCAATAAAAAATAACATTTAATCAAAGTATATAAATATACTAAAATATTTACATGTAAGAATGATGACACAAAGGTTTACCATTCAGACATTTTTTATATTTATTTATGGTTTTCAAGAATTGGTTTCTAAAGATTATATTTGTTTATAAAAGTTTGACCAAGGATTGATATCAGTTAGAGAACCATTGAAAACCAGTCACAGGAAGTACTGAACAGCTGGCTGTTTCATCCTGGTGCTTGGGAATTATCAGCAGCATGCACTCATTACAGTGGGGTTCAAACCCAGGACTTTCAGGAGACAAGGCAAGCTCGTTTATTTCGTTCACTGGGTGGAGTTTCTAGCCCAACCTTTTTCTTTACTGGGTTTATTTAAGCGGTTACATGAGATTTAAGAGGGCGTCGGTAACTGAAAATTGAACCCTGATTGAAGTTTGTAGTTGACTAGCATAGTGCTACTGAATCACTCTAGTGTCGAACGCTGGTAACACCATCCAGTATTCCAAGTCTCTCAGCCATACAAGTACTAATAGGTCCCAACGGTTCTTAACTTCGGTAATCGGAAGAGAACCAGTGTTTCGGATGTTGAATGATCACTAAGTCATTCTTGTTGTTGACATTCGTCAGCAAGGCGTATCGGCAACCTTGAAGGAAGTCGTTCTTTTCTTCTGGGATTCAAATACTAGTTACTCAGTCCTACAGTCAGAGGCGTTTACCACTGAGTTATTTAGGATCTTTAACATTCTTAGATTATCCTTACTCTTAATTATCGTAATAATTTTGTTACTATATATAAAATGAGAATAGCAATAATAATTTGTGCGTCGGTGGTGCAGCGGTTAGGACGCTCGACGACCATGCACATGGTCCGGGATTCGATCACCGGTCACTGACGCACTCCTGTACCTCGCTAAGCCAGAAATAATGCTGGTAAAGAGGAAAGGTTGGGCTAGCAACCCCATCCTGTAAAAATAAACATCACTGCTACAGAAACTTCAAGCCACTAGCTTGAGGCCCTATGTTCCACTGGGAATGTGAAGGAAAAGAAAAAAAATGAAAAATAATAATAATAGTAGTGTAAGAGTTCATTGCATTTACTCGGATCACTGTGCTTTGTTACAAAATCCGCACATAGCTATAAAATCACACTTTACATCCGTGTTTATGATACTATCCAGTTGTTGAGTCTTAAGCATATGGACTGCAGCTTGAGTCTGGAATTCATAGATGGACATTCAATGACCTATACTTAACATCTTCTTAAATACATTAGAAGAAATTAGAAATGTATAATTAGTATGCCAGGCATAGCTATATGATACCCCCCCTTTTGTGCACCAAACTGTTACCTGCATATCAATCATAGAGACTTACAAATTCAACCCGACAAAAGGACACGTGGTTGTGTATAAGTAAAGCACCGTTTCACCGCATGACATAATAAATCATAATTTCTTTACACATTGCAGAAGACTGACTGACTGATTTCAACATTGAACTTTGCACCGATGTGCAGCAGTTCAAGTCAACACACTCCCTTCATGTAGCACACAAAGCAAGAGAAGAAAGTAAAAGGAAATGCAAAATAGAGACAGTAAACAGAGATATGAGGCGAAAGGAAAAGTAATAGCGAAGAAAAATAGAGTTGTATTAGATAGTAAAAGTCACAAGGAGTGGATGCATCTACCCCAGACATTGAGAACGAGGATTTTCAGCCATATCACCAACTTTCTCAATTCATTAGTGTTAACCAACCCGATGACCCTAACCAGGAAGTTTACATTTTCCTACACTGCTTAAAATAACTGTTGTGGATTTCATTGACTGATGAAGCCATGTTTTGGTTTGACCACCAAATACTAACTCTTTTCCAACATGACCCTATCAGTTAGCTAAAACTGCCCGTCGAGGAAGGAAGGCGATGGCCGGACACGCATAACACATGTCCTGACCATCTCAATTAATGTAACTTCACAGCCTCGTCTATTTATTTCCCCTCCTTACCTAACACTCCATCGATGCCTAACCTTAATATTGCTCACCCTATTATACCATTTCACATGGGAGATGGCAGATTGCAGACGATCGTGTGAAAAGGAAATGACAGCTTATGGGTTAAGAAGGACAAGAAGAAATAAGGATGTGCAGTTAAAGCTGTATGTTCCAGTCAAAATCCAGAGTATTAATAATAATAGTAATAATAATGTTTATGCTAAACATATTAGATGAAAGTTGATAATATTGGGTCTCAATAGGTAGGTAGAGAATGAGAGAGAGAGAGGGTAAGTGAAACTTATGACCAAATAGGCCAAAAACGAAGTATTTCACGATTAAATCAACCAAAAACCAACAACACATTACCATATGTGTATAAAAAAATAAAAACAAAATGAAGCATATATATATAAATACCAGAACAGATGTCACTTACTTCTAATTTCCGCTTATTGTATTCACTGTCAGGAACTAAAAATTAAAAAAAAACAACCAAAAACAAAAGTGGAGTAAAAGGTAGAAAATGAAAAATATTCAGAATAAGGGATAAAAAGTTATTCTAGTTCAAGACTCATCATCAGTATGTACCCATCACAAGGGTTCGAAGTCAGGACCTTCCGGCTGCAAATCAAGCTCGTATATCATTCAACCAGTGGGACCTGATTTAATGGCCACACCCTGAATTCTAAATTTTGAATCCTGAGTCCGAAACCCAGTGGGTGTGTACTGCCGATAAATAGTTAGTTAAATTATTATCGTGTTTTTGGTACAGGTATGGAATTCTCAGCATGTGATATCGTTAGCCCGAATTTTACAGTCCGATCATTGAATATCAGTGACGCCATGGCAACTCCCTCAGTTTGTTTGTATATTTTCCACTGGAATTTAAATATTGGGGTCACCATTATCCCCGCTTGCGGCCGATATATTCATAGAGGGATGGGAAAACATAGCGATTGAAACCTTCAGCCCCACCCCGAAAGTATGGTGGAGGTATTTAGATAACACATTCACTGTACTTAGAACACAAGATATAGATAGATTTTTCAAACACATCACCTCAAAGGTGGAGGCGATTCAATTCATTTATGAATTGAAAAGTCAAGAAGGAAAACTTCCAATGTTAGATTGTAGTGTAAATAGGAAAGAAGATGGGAAGTTAAACACTAGTATGTGTTTACAGGAAACCCATTATTCAAACAGATATTTTGACTTCCGATCATCCAATCCTATGTTAGTAAAAATAGGATTAGTGAAATGTTTCAGTAATGGGACACAAAACTAAATAGTATCAAGGAAGATCTAAGACAGGAAGTGAGGCATATGAGAGAAGCTTTAAAACTTAATAATTACCCTTATAAATTAATCAAGAAGTATGTAGAAAAACGAAAATATAGTAAAATTAATAAAAATATTAGTGCTAATGATAATATTAAGAATATTAATGACAACACCAACAATAAGGAATCTAAATCATCAGTAGTAATTCCATGAAACGAAGGAACCTTGAAACCTTACGCAGAATTCTTAACAATGCAGCTAGGAATAAAAGTAGCTGGCATTCAAACCCACAAACTCAATTAGAAACAAGCTTTGTCAGTTAAAAGATCCTGTGGAGCCAATAGAACAAAACTATTTAGTTGCTCTAATTCCCTGCCTTCAGTGACTGTCAGGTCAAAGACGTAGGTCAAAGTAATAGAACAGGGGCAGTCACTGAGACTAGCAAGGCATAAAAACCTAGCACCAAAATGTAGATTAGTTGACCAGAATAAGATAAGAAATCTGGAGAATATTTTCAGCTATAGCACTCACTACATGCAATTACACACATCAGTACAATGGGATGGGATAGGATGACTGTTTTAAAATCTAATGTCAAAGGGTGAATAGAGGGAGAGATTGATAACGGAAGCTTTGTTTATCGAATCAACTATAAATACGTGTAACAGGAATGATTGAGCACCGTCCCAGATATCTGGAGAATTCTACTCCACACCCACGACGACAAATGGGAGAGAACAAAGAAAACTACAAAACTCAAGTTTCGAAGTCGTGTGATTAGAATTGATGAAACAATTATGAACAATAAATTGCGTTCAAAACTGCGTCATCCAGTAAGTAATACTGATTAACTGTGTGATATATCTAATAAACAAACTAACATGGTAAGATCATAAGTGTGAATTAAAAGCGTAACAAAAAAGGGAGTTTGAATAAGAAATATAATAGGATAATCATTATTGAGAGAAATGACTATTTATGATGCCCATGGTAAAAATAAAGGTTGGACATATTTCTTTTGAATACATGCAATGGCCTTGGGCTTTTGGATCTCTAGTGCTCCAGCTATGTCTAGATATCCTGATCTTACTGTCTTCGAGAGGTTTGATTGGATTTTGTATAAGACTTTGAAGGACTTTTCAAATGGGACTGAGTGTCCTGAGTGCACTGAATGTTCCATCACTGGTATATATATACACACCTATGTTTTCCGTCAGTCAGCTAGGTTGGATAGTACTCTCGAGAACATTTTACAAGCAGGAGGATCATACACCCAATATACGCGACTCCATAAGAGAAAATGAACTAGTATATGCATGTTGATGATATCACAGATAGGTTTTCACCTACTGATCGCTTCTTGGAAGACAGTGTTACTTGTAGACTGGCAGAGAAGTATGTTTTCCTGAGAGATTTTTAAGACAATTTTCGGGAGTTTCTGTTTCAGTATCAGTTTTAAATTCAAGATTCAATAGAGGGATATTTTTAAAGACTACTTGGACCTCTTTTCAGCAGCTCTTTTCGGTTTCAGGTTCTTGTCAAAGAATCTAGGTGGAGATTTTACCACACTTTGCCGATAGATTCCCTGTACATATTTTCTGGATCCGTGAGGAATGAAAGTAGGTGCGTTTTCTCCTCCAAACTAGCGAGAGAAAAATCTTTGAAAATTGATAAGCTATGCGTTCCATCCGACATTTTTATAAGTATAAGGTGTGCATGAAAGGTTATCCTCTAAGTCTGCTTTTTAAACACTTTATTACAACTTCAGGATTATAACTATGTCTGGATGTTAATCAATCGTCAACTAAAGGAATAGAAGTCAAGTGAAGAGACCATGACCGATGGAGTACAGCAGGTGGTCTAGTGTGAGAGCAAATACTCGCCACCGATAACACTAGCTAGTGTTATTTGAGCTATAGCGTCAATTTGCAAAAGTTGAAATTCATCGACCGGCCAGTGAGTTGGATCCCAGAGGCTGAATGGTCTAAAATCTAGTTCACTTGTAACCGAAAGGTCCTGGATTAGAACCCTTGTGGATAATGAGTACTACTGATGAGGAGTCTCACACTAGGCTGACAAAACAGCTGTCCAGTACTCTCCCTGCGGCTGGTTTTGCAATAGTTCTCGCACCGATTTCAGCTTATAATGAAATCCTGTAACCAATTAAATCCCTGCACACCAACACTTGATTACTTATAATAGTTGGGCGTCATTCAACGTCAAAAGTTAACAAAGTAAAAGAGTTATAATTTTTTAAGGTCGAAAGGGGAATGCAACATAACCGTTAAAAGTGATGAGGACCCCTAGTGAGTTGGAAGTGGGTCACTCTTGACGAGTACCAAAATAGACCGAAACATGTGGCTGTCCAGTGCTTCCTGTAGGTTTTCAGTGATCTCTCTAATATTGATTTTAATTCATGAAGAAATAGAGCAAATGAAATTTATTCAAATCCCACAAACTTAGTACTGTTGACATTGTTTGTCTGTTGCCAAACCCACCAGTGACGAAAAAGCATAACCCTAACAATCAAGCGAAATTAGGTTGTAAGAGGATTAAAGATAATGTAATAAACATTCTAAATGTCTTACAGTGATGATGAATATTACCAACTGGATGACGATGTTTCCAGCATAAATGATTGCTACTCATTGTTAATCAATTTTAGTCACAAGGTTTCACAATTTGTCCTATATAAATAGAACATGAAAATGACATTGCCATGCAACGCCTAGTCTTCAGAAGTCAATTTATCGAAAGCCTACTTGGAAAGAACAATACTTAAGCTTTTAATAGCTTTTGTCCAAATAGCTTTAAACGCAGTCTAGTCAAGACTCTGTACTATAGAGACAGGAGAATATGCTTTATAGAGAAATTAGAGGAAGAATTTGAGTTTCTTGGAAAGACATTGAAGAGCAATGGGTACCCTCAAAGGTTCATTAACAAGTATGGAAGATCTGAAGTCATAAATGCGAAACAAATCACAGTGGGTAAAAAGCCAAACTACATTCAGCTTGATTACAAAGGTGAAAACATCGCAGCGATGATCAACAAAAAGCTGAGTACGTCACTAGCCAGAGCCTAACCCCGTCTATCGAACAACTTGCTCTTTGGTGCAATCAAAAATCGATAGATATCCTTCTCATGTTAACTCCAACTCCATATACAAATTTACATGTATCTACGGGAGCAGTTACACTGGAAGGACAGAAAGAAGGACAAATCTACGATGTCCAAAGTGGACAAATGCTTTAAACAGTGCCATTGCCAGGCATCTCCTTGACACGGGTCATGAAGTGGATGTCAAAAAGTCGTTCAAAATTATCAATAAGCAAAGGAGCTCAATTCTTCTCAAGTTTTCTGAAGCCATTTCCATCAAGCGCCTGAAACCTGATTTATGCGTCCAGAAAGAAGCAGTTTTAAGTCTTTCTTTGCCCTGGTAACAAGATATTTTCACCTCTCTTTCATGTGAATGCGTAATGCTGAAAAGTTTCCATTGTGTATGATTATCATTGTTCGGAATAGTTTTTAATATTATATATATATATATATAATTTCCGTATGTATATATTGATTGATTTTTGTTTAAAAATGACCTCTGTGCAAGTATGTTAAAATTGTTTTTATAGATATATTTATTAATGTCTTTAGCCTGTAAGCAGCTGACGAGAAGGCAACGAAATAAAAGATGGTACTACTTTATTCTGCAAAAACTGTAGTTGTCGCTTTATTCAAATTCATCAAGGGGAATAAATGTATGAAATATATTTCTCCTCTTTTCCTGTCTCACCTTCTTCCCATTGTTGTTTGTTGGCACTTTCCATATCTCCAGTACACACTCGTTGCGTCATTTCGATTGAACGTATGTGGTGTCGAATCAATGAACAGAAACTCAATGATTAACCTGTTTCTTCACCTGATCATGTTACTTTTTAATACTCTTACCCAATCCAACTCAACTGTGTGATTAAATGCAGTTGAATATTATACAATACCTGATACTTAAACTTTAATTCATCGCATCCAGAATCAGTAAAGATAGGTTTAGTTAAATATCTATATAATCGGGTCAGAAGCCTAACTAACTACTAGTAAGCCAGAAGATTTAAATAATGAAATCGAACAAATAGAGGAAATATCGCTAGTGAATAACACACTCGCTACCCACCAGAATTTATTCAGAAGTGTATGAA